CCGGGTCGACACATGAAATAATGAAGCCGTTGGGATGTCCAAAGGGCGTCGAGAAAGTAAGCCGAGGTATGGTGACACTGAGCAGCCGGGTACGACAATTGACATCGTATTTAATGCGATGTGACCCCTCATTTATGACGAAATGAGTGAAAGTGACAAGATAAATAAATGCGAGCCTGCCAGCACCTGTCCTCTGGGAGTCTAATCCTACTGTCATGACGGCTAAGCATTAATGACTGATGCGCCGAGATGATGCAATCGGCTCCTTCGAGGAACTGTTCCCCCCGAGTATTCAATGCTTAGTTGATGTAGGATGTCGATCTGCGGGATTTGGGTACTTGGGGAGTGGCATGAATGCTCGGCATTTGGTCGAACATTTATCCCATTTTTCTAGCATTCAATAGGAGGAGACGTGAGTAGAAAACACTCATTGCACGAGAAATGGTGTGTCAGATATAAGATGCTTAGATGAGACTGGAGATCTTTGGCAATCATTGTTAGTTCAGGTATAAATACTCCTCAAAAAAATGAACAAAAGTACGCAAACTTGAATCAGAAAAATAGTCCATTGAGCAAAACCGTTCGACTTTATACTGACTTAAGCTTTGGAGGGGATTAGCAGGGCGCTCGTCTGACCCCCTTTTTTCTGACCCTGTTGTTTCAGGTTTGCCAGCTTGGAGATTGCTGTCTCATACTATTGCAGGAATTATCCCGTGCAATTTGGCGCCGTCTGCGGGAAACGAAGACATTTTTCCCGGTAGCGATTGTCTAAAGGTGAACACTTAATCTCAGGGTGAGGGAGCAAGTGTATGGGCCAGGAACACAGAGCCCGTCTGGCTTTCAATGGTTCAAGAGCCGAGTTCATAGGGTCAATCAGATGGGGTGGGGCATTCTTCGCAAAGAACGCTTCCTATGGATCAAGGCCTTGGGGGGGCGTGACCTCATGGCCCATGACATCGTTGAGATGATGGAAAAGCGGATGGGCAAACACATTAAGCAGCTTGAAAGGGAAAACGCCAAGGTTCAGCAACATCTTGACGATTTTGAGCAGTTAGCGAGCGTGAGTGAACATAGTCGCAGGTTCGGGGACCAAGTGCTTAGCCAGAACCTGTCCAGCCCCCCTAGCATTGACCCTCTAGGAAAGATTGGATTAGGCACTCGCCCGAGGGATGTAACCGCCAAGGAAGGTTCTCGGCCTCCAAGGGTAAGTCGGAATCGAGCCAGAAGACAAGCCTGTCCAGGTGGGACCTACGCTGAGGGATACTCGAGGGCGTCGGAGCCGCCGAATCACAAGCAGAGTCCATACCCCGAATGACTCAAGAAGAAAGATCAAAAAAGGATCCTAGGGTCCCTTTGTTGATCAGCGCAACCATGTGCCCGAGGTCTACTCCGAAGAAGTTATCTCACCGTTTGTTCGGGCTATCAGGGAGGCCGAGATGCCAAAGAAGTTTATCGTCCCAAGGTTCAAAGTCTATGATAGGAAAATCAATCCCAAGAGCCATATTCGGCAATACAGACAATTGATGTCAATCTATGATACTGACCAAAGGGTGTTGTGCCTAGTTTTTCCCATGAGCCTAGGGGACACAGGCATGAAGTGGTATGAGAACCTTGCTCCTGAGAGCGTTAGGTCCTGAAAACAATTGAAGGAGCTTTTCATAGCTCGATTCATCACAAACAGTAAGAAATTGAAGGACATCAGCACTTTGTTGACGCTTAGGAAGAAAGGGGGAGAGACACTTCGACAATATGTCGTCCGGTATTGGGATGAAGTGAAAGAGGTGGAAGCATGTTCGGAGGCATTGGCCGCGGCGTCATTTAGGCTGGGGCTGTCCCGGGATACTGATTTGTACAAATCGCTAACTAAGAAGGCTCCGACGGATATAAAAGACTTAATGGCTCGGATTAACAAATATGCCCAGGTGGAAGAAGAATCTGTCGCGCCCGAGAGCAGGGTCACGGTGCCGAGGAAAAGGGAAAGGGAGTAGTCGGCTCGAAGAGGAGGTCCTGTTCCACCCCCAACTCGCCTATCCTTCCAGGGAATGAACACGGTCTTCAACGAGCCCATTCACAGGATACTTCCAAAATCAAAAACAAACCTTACTTCAAGTGGCCCCCGAGGATATTTGGAGACCCGTCGACAAGGAATGCGACCTTTCGATTTTCGTATCATAAAGATATCGGCCATTTGACGGAGGATTACAAGGTTTATAAATCCTGCCTTGAACAATTGGTGCAAGACGGACACCTCGGGAAATTCATCGACAGGGGTCGTCCCTGCGGGTCGGCGAGGGAGCAAGCCGAGGTGCCAGCTGAGGTATCACCCATGATTGATATTATTCATGCCTGCACAGTGGAGAGGCATACATACAACTCCCTCCGCGTCGAGTTACAGAGGGTCTCTCAAGCAGTCAAGGTGGAAGAAAGGGGTGATGAGCGGCCGGCCAAAAAGCCGCGGAGCAGTGCCGAGGTTATTCAGTTTTTCGACGCTGATCTCGGCGGGGTGGTCCTCCCTCACGAGGATGCATTGGTGATCACTTTGCGGGTCGGGAAGTTCGACGTCAAGAGGATCTTGGTGGACTCGGGCAGTTCTTCCGAGATGATGTACAATCATCTCTTCCGCAAGATGGGACTCTCTCAGGGAGATCTGAAACCCTTAAAAATCCCCCTTATTGGCTTTAATGGTTCCAGCGCCCTGCCCCTTGGAAAAATCACCCTCATGGTATGGGCGGGGATGGTGACCACGCTGGTGGAATTTGTGGTGGTGGACTCCGACTCCCCTTACAACGCTATTATGAGGAGATCGTGGTTGCATGCAATAAAGGCGGTCCACTCATCCTATCACCAGAAGATAAAGTTTCCAACACCGCAGGGCATAATAGAAATCTGGGGTGACCAGGCGTCGGCGAAAATTTGTTTCTATGCCATGGTGAAAACGGGAGTCAGCGGCTGGAGTCAGGAGCGTGATCCCGATGTGGTGGTTGCCAAATAACAATCACAGAGCGGTCGTCCGGGAGTGGACGAACCCATTACAGAGCCGGCCGACCGGTCTACTGAGGCCTTAGTGAAGATTCTCCTGAGCCCAGATAATGGTGAGAAGTACTTTTTGGTAGGAGAGTCACTCAGCGACGCATAGAGAAATGATATGGCCTCGTTTTTATGCCACAACGCCGATGTCTTTGCGTGGACTCAAGCTGAGATGACGGGGATAAGTGTCGAGGTGATGACTCATTGGCTCCATGTGAATCCCTCATTCAAACCCGTTAGGCAGAAGGTCTAGAGAACGATGCCTCACCACGCGAAAGTTGTGGATGAAGAGGTGGATAAGTTGTTGGGGGCAGGTTCCATCAAAGAGGTATAGTTCCCCCAGTGGTTATCCAATACCGTGTGCGCCAAGAAGAAAGAAGGGAAATGACGAGTTTGCGTGGATTTCACGGACCTGAACAAGGCTTGCCCCAAGGATGAGTACCCCTTGCCCAAGGTNGGGATAAGTGTCGAGGTGATGACTCATTGGCTCCATGTGAATCCCTCATTCAAACCCATTAGGCAGAAGGTCTGGAGAACGACGCCTCACCACACGAAAGTTGTGGATGAAGAGGTGGATAAGTTGTTGGGGGCAAGTTCCATCAAGGAGGTATAGTTCCCCCAGTGGTTATCCAATACTGTGTGCATCAAGAAGAAAGAAGGGAAATGACGAGTTTGCGTGGATTTCACGAACCTGAACAAGGCTTGCCCCAAGGATGAGTACCCCTTGCCCAAGGTTGATCAGCTGGTAGACGTCACAGTCGGCTACAAGCGCATCACTTTTATGGATGNGAAGGGAAATGACGAGTTTGCGTGGATTTCACGGACCTGAACAAGGCTTGCCCCAAGGATGAGTACCCCTTGCCCAAGGTTGATCAGCTTGTAGACGTCACAGTCGGCTACAAGCGCATCACTTTTATGGATGCTCGGGCTGGATATCACCAGATTCCTTTGCATGAATCAGATCAGGAGAAAACGACGTTCATCACGCCCTGGGAGATCTACTGTTACATAGTGATGCCTTTTGGGTTGAAGAATGTTGGGGCGGCCTACCAATGTTTGATGAACAAAATTTTTAAAGACCAACTCGGCGACACGATGGAGGTGTACATTGATGACATGTTGGTCAAAAGCAAAGAGAGGGCCGACCATCTCTATGATCTCGGGACAACATTCACCATCCTCTAGAAGTATAGTCTAAAACTAAACCCCTCGAAATATNTTGATGAACAAAATTTTTAAAGACCAACTCGGCGACACGATGGAGGTGTACATTGATGACATGTTGGTCAAAAGCAAAGAGAGGGCCGACCATCTCTATGATCTCGGGACAACATTCACCATCCTCTAGAAGTATGGTCTAAAACTAAACCCCTCGAAATATGCCTTTAGAGTGAGCTCAGGTAAGTTTTTGGGGTATTTGGTTACTCACCGGGGGATCGAGGCAAACCCCAAGCAGATACAAGCAATCCAGAATGTCCGGGCGCCTAGGACCATTAAGGATGTTCAANGCCTTTGGAGTGAGCTCAGGTAAGTTTTTGGGGTATTTGGTTACTCACCGGGGGATCGAGGCGAACCCCAAGCAGATACAAGCAATCCAGAATGTCCGAGCGCCTAGGACCATTAAGGATATTCAGAAATTGGCCAGGATGTTGGCAGCCCTTAATAGATTTATTTCCAAGTCGTCCGATAAGTGCAAACCATTTTTTGCCAAGTTGAGGGGTGCAACTAAGGGANCGCCTAGGACCATTAAGGATGTTCAAAAATTGGCCAGGATGTTGGCAGCCCTTAATAGATTTATTTCCAAGTCGTCCGATAAGTGCAAACCATTTTTTGCCAAGTTGAGGGGTGCGACTAAGGGAGTTTGGGACGAGGAATGCGGTCAAGCCCTTGAAGGGGGTTTGGGTCGGCATCAACGACCAAGGCGATCGGCATCACTAGTTGAATCTTGGCTTCTTAGATGGTCTGCCCCTCCTATGGGGATGGTTGGTCTCACCTTTATGCATTGTTGGTGATAGGTTCTATCTCCATTTCCATGAAGCATAGCTTGAAAAACCCGCTGACGGACACAATCATCAACTCAGAGGATGGTCTACACTGGCCCATAGAAGTGCTCGGCATCATCAAGACATCTCAGCTGAGAAGCCTCTTTATTTTTTCATCATATTGGGGGATTGCTCAGAGCGGGGGGCATGTCTCGAAGCCACATGTTCTCGAAACAAGGGCCTCTCGGGTAATAGTTCTCTGCATCACCTACTTGACCCATAATATTTTGGGTGGTCAGCCCATCATCATGCAATGGTCATCACTGCCTCTGGACAAGACGCCTTGCCGGGTCTCCTCAATTGAATGCCCATTCGTACCTATCACTCCTTTGGCTTCAGCATCGGTTAAGCGGGGTTCTCATAATCTTAGAGATCGTAACATACACAAGCAGGGAAAAAGGCTTTACCCAGCTCTTCGGCATTCAAATTTTGAACCTGCCTAGTATCATTTCAACTTGTATTGAAGCTAGATACATGACAAATGGGGTCTTATGTTGCTCCAACGAAGGCAACGATAATGACCAGCTATCAAGAAGGGCTCGGCAAGTAAAGTCTTTGACACTTTTATCCCTCATGGAGTTAAAAAATCCAGTCTGGNAGATACATGACAAATGGGGTCTTATGTTGCTCCAACGAAGGCAACGATAATGACCAGTTATCAAGAAGGGCTCGGCAAGTAAAGTCTTTGACACTTTTATCCCTCATGGAGTTAAAAAATCCAGTCTGGTGTGCTTGAAGATTCTTGGATTATTCTAACAGTTCTCTTTTAGAGCCTTGGAGGTTGTTGGCACTACAATACTATGGCCCGACGCCTATGTCCCTAGGCACTCCTTGATTCATGAGAGCTGCACAGCATCTTCAAAAAAGCCGGTAACACAGCATAAATGAGCTAAGCAGTCGCATCGCCTACCAAACCCAAAAGTATTTTAGTTGGAAGGCTTGTCATAATGAGAATTGTTCGGTCTCACACCCAGATTTGCTTGGACTATCCATGACTATTAAAGTGCTGGGGTAGAGGACCAAAAAAGCCTCATTCAAGATGTAGTTACTCAGTTTCTACTTCTTGCCTGCGCAAAGAATACCAGGTATTCAGCGGCCTCAATAAAACCCAACAGTCTCGGTCAAAAGCAACAAACATCTTCCTTGTCTTAAACAAATGGAATGGAATGACCAGCAATACTCTTATTATCTCAATGACATCGATGGTGGTGGGGCTCTCATATGGGTATTTCTCTTGCAATTTCGGCAGCCAAAGTAACACTGCCCCCTCAGGAATAGTATGTCATTAACCCGGAATGCTACTCAAAAGTAATTGGCATCATCTCCAATTAAATCAAGTGAGGGCAAGAATAAACGCACATGAATTGACAAGGCTTGGCCTAAACAAGAATTCTTCTAGTAGTGGAAGGAAGGTCTTTGTGCACAAGACACTCAGTGGACTCCGGGCCCTAGAAACGAGTAAGCCTTTGCTTAGCCAAAGCACCAAAAGTCCTAATATAGGCATAAAATTTTTCGAGGACAGGTTGAAGAACTTGGACTAAAGAGTACTCCTTGTTTAAGGAGGTGGCATGAGACTCGAGGCTAGACCTTGAACACGGATAAGTCTTTGCATGGCCAAAGCACCCAAAGCCCTATGTAATTAGGCATCTAATAGGCTCTGGGCCTTAGAAACGAGTAAGCCTTTGCTCAACCAAAGCACTAAAAATCCTAATATACCCATAAAACCTCTTCGAAACAGTTTCAAGAACTCGGACGCGGGAGTACTCCTTGTTTAAGGAGGTGACATGAGACTTGGGGTTATGACTTGAACACGGGTAAGTATTTGCATGGCCAAAGCATCAGAAGCCCTACATGCTTAGACACTTGGTGGGCTCCAAGCCCTGGAAATGGGAAAGCCTTTGCATGGCCAAAGCACCTAAAATCTTATTGGAACATGAATCCTCTTAGATACGGGTTCAAGAACCGTCATTGGGGGTGTATTCCTTGCTTAGGAAGCTGACACGAGGCTCTGGGTGAAACCCTTGACATGATGACATACAATTATGAAGAAAAGAACTGGCCCAACATCAATTTGCATGATCAGAGATCAGATGTAAATATTCTCACAAGCAGAATCTGAGAAAACCTTGGATCATTCAACCATGAGCTCAGTACGTTCATGGCTCGATTTCACAAGGTACGCTTTTATTTAAATGTTACTTGAACATGACAGGAAAATACAACTCATTGTCGAGTTCATCGCCAGCTTGAGATTATCGAGGCCAAGGGACATATATGTTCGGGTCTTCTCTTATGACCTAGATGGTCCAAGTTTACTTGAGTTTTCTCTAAATAGATAGATTTATTTGGGCCATTCCTAAGGGCTAGTGTTGGGATTCAGTTATTGTCTTTCTCGACATTCGAATATTATTATTTTCTTTGGATGGGATTGAGGTGCAATTACGGTCGTCCTATTCAGGACTTGACTCTCTTCAGCGACATCTTATGGTTATATTTGGTATTATGTTGTCCATCCCCTTAATAAGGCATTTCAATAATGCTCGGCTTTCTCTAGTAGCATCTTATGATTATGCTTGGAATTCCATTATTCTGCCTTTCAGTGGGACACACTATTGCTCGGTGTGACGGATTTCTTGTATGATCACTATTAGTAGTTGGGTCCACCACTTCTTATCCTTTTGATCAAACATGAAAAGATCAACTACGATATCTGACAAACGCATTGATTTGATTATATGGATTATCATTTGTTGATTATAGGATCTTCGAGCTCTACATATATTGATCTTGGTATTCTGTTAGGAATGAAAAATGCATTAAGACTCTATGCATGTTATTATCTATTTGATTTTGGCTTCATGATTGCTTTGATGACATATGGAAGATCTCAAAATATCTATTCTAAACTATATCTTATTGGAAGGCGGCATGAATATTCTTCATAGCTTTCATCCCCTTCTAATATTACGAAGGAAATAAAAGCTGAGGGCAGTTGATGAACTATATTTTGTATCAATGGGAAGGGCCCCACATCACATGGGTGTATCATAATGAGACCCATGGCTCATCTTTCCAAGACAAAGCTGTCAGCACTTGCAAAGATACACATCTCAAGAAGGTGTCAACTCAAGGAGACAGTAAATAGCTCTCTACTGCCTCTATAAAGATGGGTGAAGACCCAAAGGTGGGTCTGCCAACCCTACTCCCAAGAAAAGAGTATAAATGACTTGACATATATCACAAGTGAGACCTACTACAATAAATATATGGCAGGTAGTGAGTGTTTTGGCAGGCTAGTCCATATCTATTTCCCTGCATTGACGGCTGGAAAATAGGGTAAGTAGCTCTCTAACCTTCTATATATATATAGGTGAAGACCCAAGAAAGAGGGGCTTCAAGTATGAGCACCTCGGCTCCATACTCCACACACACACCTTTTACCATTTCTCTAATTTTATACACTAACCTATTTATGTGTTGATCGCAATATTGACTTAGGCATTAGAGGAGCCTCCCCTGGCTCAACGCCGAGGGTTCCTCTAACCTCTCTTTGATTTTTCAGCTCATAGATTTGGTGATACTCAAAGATTAGGGCGCACCTTCAACATTTTAGTGATTGTGCAAATTTTTGCCCTCACAAAGACAAACGCCATTTGAGTTAGTTTATGAAAGGGAACCTCCGAATTTGTTGGCTTATGTGCAAGGAACGGCTATGTTGAATCTGTACATCATTTCCTTATTCAACGTGACCAAATTATACTCGAAGCAAGGGAGAATTTGTTGGCCGCACGAAATAGAATGAAGAGATTGTATGATGCAAAACACACGGAACGTTGCTTTAAGGTAGGAGATTGGGTTTATCTCAACAACAACCTTGTCAACAAACCGTGGTAGCACAGAGAAGGAACAACAAGCTCGCTACATAATACTATGGGTCATTTCAGGTGGTCTCCCCCATTGGGCGGGTTGTGTATAAACTGACACTTCCCACCTCATCAAAACTGCATCTCGTTTATCACGTCTCCAAGCTCAAGAAAATGATGGGTGAAAACCATGCAGTCCAGTCGGACCTACCTACATTCATAGACTCGGGGGCAAAAGTCCATCCAATACCTAAAAGTCTTTTAGATAGCCAAAATATCAAGGGAATTTTGGAAGTTTTGGTGCATTGGCAAGATGTTTCTCCTTCTGATGCTTACTGGGAGAATGAAGAGGACTTCAAGCTGCGTTATCCTTACTTTACCCTTGAGGACAAGGGTGTTGATTGGGGGGAGGCAAGATGATACGGTCCAAATGCTGGAGCCATTATCTGAGAAGATTAGGCATAGTAGGAGTCCTAGAAGAGCTCGTGATGCAGGGGGAGATGGATGAGGATAAACAAGCACCAGGATAAGGATAGGAATAATTTGTATTTTAGATTAGCAAATAGTTAGGATATTTATATTTATCATCTAATAGTTACGATATTTATGCTTATCGTCTAGGAGATGTTTTCAGTTACAACTACATGTAATTGCCTATTTAAGCATTGCAAGTTATGAATAAAAGTATCAATTAATTCAATCATTGTTAGGAGGTCCTGGACCCCTCGAACCATCCTATCCAAACACAATAGGGAAGCAACACAAGGTTGATCCCTGTTCTTTGCCCCTTGCTAAGCCATTTACGCTCTCTCAATCGCTGGCATGTAACACAATCTAATATTTATAAATGATTAGGTAAGCAAATTAGGTTTAAATAGCATTGNTGCTAAATATAGTTTTGTTAATTTTGGCATGCACCTTGGTAAGCACATGGATTTTAATTTGGTGGCTTTCCCATGCATGACTCTTGGCATATTCAAGGCTTGGTTTTGAGTTTTCACGTTAAAGCAATTTGAGCAGCAAAATAAGGTTACAAGCTTTTGTCATTTCCTTGGTTTTCTCTCTTCTCGGTTGGCTTGGCAAGAAGATTTCTTGGGTAGTCTTTGGTTCAACAGAAAATTCAGCCTTCTTCTTCTCCATTTTTGGTGCCACAAAAATCTACAAATTTGTTCTTCAAGTGGGTAACATTTCTTCACTTGATATTTGAGTTTTTTGCGGTTTGTTCTTGGAGATTTGGTTCACTTATTTTGTGAGGTATTTTCCTCTTGTGATTTACACCTNCAAATTTGTTCTTCAAGTGGGTAATATTTCTTCACTTGATATTTGGGTTTCTTGCGGTTTGTTCTTGGAGATTTGGTTCACTTATTTTGTGAGGTATTTTCCTCTTGTGATTTACACCTTGGTGTGTTTGTAAGGCTTATGCCTTTTGGCCACTTTGTAATCTGATTTGGTAATAGTGGAAGAAACTGACCTACCGGTCGTCGTGGATGTACCTCAAGTTATTTGAGGGAACCACGTAAATCTTGTGTGCTTATTTATTTTTTGTTATTTTATTTATATTGCTTCCATTGATTTACACT